GTACCAAAAATAAATAAACTTTTTCTTTTGTTCAATATAAAGTTCCAAATAAACTTTTATTTTCAACCATTGACTCTGAAACATTTTGGTTCAAACTTTGTGATCCTCCTTCCTCAGCCTCCTGAGTAGCTGGGATTACAGGACAGGTGTGCACCACCACACCCAGCAAGGGGGAAGAATTTCTGAAGAATGCAATCTCTTACAGGAATTAAAGTTAGCAGAATTTGATCATCTTTCTCTATTTTCTTCTCCTACTGCTTGGCTCAGTGCTCTGTATAATAGAGGCTGCTCAACATGTAAATACATTCATTTGACCTATAAAATAGAGACAGACCTTAACTAAACAACAATTTTCAGTACCTACTATGCATAAAATATCATGTATTGCTCCCTATCATTTGCTTACCAAAATTCTATACAAAGGGCCAATTTATAAAACAATTGCCATTTATCGAGCATTTTCTATGTGTCAAATACTGTGCTAAGCACTTTTTTTTTATAAGGTAGAATATGTCCTCTCTAAAATTACCCCTTTTGTTGTTGTTTGCTTTTAGTATTAGAGATTGAACCCCAGGAAGCTTTGCCACTGAACTACATTTCCAGTAGTTTTTAATTTTTTTTTTTTTTATTTTGAAGCAGGGTCTCACTAAGTTGCCCAGGCTGGCCTAAAACTTGCAATCCTCCTGCCTCAGCCTCTCAAGTCATTGGGATTACAGGTGTGAGCCACTGCACCTAGCTAAAATTATCCCTTAGAAGAAAGATTCGCCTTATATCCAAGTCATTATAAGTTCTCATATTATGGAGAATTCTTTATGTTTTGAAAAACAATATAGTATTTAATAAAGACACATTAGCTTGAACTAATTCAATCATTCTAGTTTCAGATCTGCATAGAAATCATCTGATAGACTATATTTCAAAAATGGAAAGGGAAAACAAAAATGTTTAACATATTCCAGGCAAAAAAATGTTGAACATGTTACTTTAGTCCCAGCACTGGAGAGACAGAGGCAGGAAGATTGCTTGAGCCAAAGAGTTTGAAATCTGTCTGGGAAACACAGCAAGACTCATTAAAAAAAAAAAAAACTGAACATAAATATGTTCATTATTCCCTGAGGCATAACTTTAGTGCTAGTGCTAGAAAATTTGTGAATAAGCTTTATTAAAATGACTTTAAACATTTAAAACAGACAACACAGCAAGTTATCATGTTGTAGAGCCACAAGTATCCCACTACAGGAGGTAAAATAACTAAATGTTTGAGAATTAGTCATTGAGGCTAGAGAGAAATTTCCAATATTACAGATGGATTCAAAAAAACTCTTCCTATTGAACCTCAAACACACTATGAGCCTATTGAACCTCTTAAAAACACACACTATGTTTATCCTATATATACACACCTATGATAAAGTTTAATTTATAAAGTAGGCACAGTAAGAAATCAATACCAATGATATGCTCTGGGAAACTAATTAGAGAAACTTAAGAAGAAACGCTGACCCTCATTGTTATACAAAATTACATATAAGAGGTTGTTAGGGGAATGGGAAAATAAACAAGGAGAGAAATGAATTACGGTAGATGAGGTAGAGAGAAAAGATGGGAGGGGAGGGGAGGGAGGATAGTAGAGGATAGGAAAGGTAGCAGAATACAACAGTTACAAATAGGGCATTATGTAAAAATGTGGAAGTGTAACCGATATGATTCTGCAATCTGTATTTGGGGTAAAAATGGGAGTTCATAACCCACTTGAATCTAATGTATGAAATATGATATGTCAAGAGCTTTGTAATGTTTTGAACAACCAATAAAAAAAAGAAAAAAAAAGAAGAAACGCTAATGAAGATGAACACGTAGGAGTTAAAGATGCCAGAGTCTGAACTAAAAAATTTTGTGAAATGAGAAACAAGAAATATTACAAAAAATTTATTACATATTCATATTGCAGATCACATTCTATGACTGTTAAACATATATTTGTAAAATGCTGATTTTGTAAAATGCTATATTTGTAAAAAGCAGGATAAGAACTTTAATCAATATGGCCACACTGGAAAGGCAAAGCAAGATCCAGCATCTAAGCCCTTTCTTCACCATGCTGAAAGAAGCTTGAGTTTAAACAGAGAAAGAACTGGTGTACGGGGTGAGATATGCATAATGAAGCGCTCTTGGTCAAACTGTGGGTCAGTTGATCGTTATTTCGGTTCTGGTTCTGCAAGGAAACTCCAGAGAAGTCCTTATTTTGCTTGAGGGGGATAATTTCCACCTGTTGCTCGGGATGTTTATCAGGCCTGTGATTCTGGAAGGGGGCAATTCAGCTGCCATGAGATGACTGCTTCAGCTTAGGCAATGGGGAGCAGTCTCATCATGGGGTGATTTCCTGGAAGGTACAGGACAATGGCTAAAGACTTCTAGTGTCATTCCAGGGATCTGAAATGGGTGACTGCAAATCCTACAGTCTTGAAGGGGGATGAAATAGGTTAGGTAAATTTAGGGCTGATAACTCTTGTATTACCAGTTTTTAGATGAACACTACTTAAATGATTAACACGTCTACACGCAGAGCTGGGGAGGGACCTGAACCAAAGTTTAAGGTAATAAAGGAGACAGACAAAAATGAAGGCAGAGATTGTCAAGCTTTATCCTGCTTTCATTACCCACTGGGTATGAATGGACCCAAATGAAGAGTCACTGCTTTTAGCAAAGGCAGCCTCTCTAAGTCCCTGTTACAATTGCATCTGATTGAACATGTACAGACTTTTTTCTTTATATTTATTCCATAAACAATATAGTATAACAACTACGTACATAACATTTACATCATATTAGGCATTATAAGTCATCTAGAGACAATTTGAAGTATAGGAAAGGATGTGCATATCTACAATGCAAATACTACACTATTTTATATGATAGACTTGAGCATTCACAGATTTTGATATCAATAAGGTTCCTGGAACCAATCCTCTCAATATACTGAGGGACAACTACATCAAATTAATCATAAAAGTAGTTCTTAAACATCTCGTTGGGAAAATGAAACCTTGCCTTCAGGATAGTCACCTTAAGTATGAGCCCAGATGGAAATTCTCCAGAGCTCAAGGAATCATCCTCATTTTACTGATGAAGAAATGGAATTTAGAAGTTAAAAAAAAAAAAAACTTGCCAAAGTCACACCTATGCTAAGTGCAAATGTCACAACTGACTGCAAGCCCACCCAACCCATATGTGAACTATACATGCCATGACAGGAGAAACCCATCCTAGCCACTACAAAGAGCAACAAGACCCTCCCTGGTAGAACCAATATAAGAAGCATACACTGTCCTCAAAAACTAAATCCAGGTGAAGACGCTTCTCTTCCCAGACCAGGCATGGAAAGCTTCTGTGTTCTCCAGAAGCAAGTCCTCCTACCACACGCACCCATGAAACAGGACATCTGAAGGCTCACCACAGGAGCCCTCTGATCCCCTATAGCACCTAAACTTCATACAACCCTAATTATATCAAGAGATAGGGACAAACATACTAGCCCCCTCATCCACACCGGACATGTTCCAAGCCCCCCAGTAAATGCCTGAAACCACAGCACCAAACCCTGTACCTACTATGTTTATCCTATATATATATATACACCTATGACAAAGTTTAATTTATAAAGTAGCACAGTAAGAGATTAATACCAATAACTAATAAAAACAGAACAATTATAACAACATACTGTAATCAATTATGTGCATGTGGAGTGTGTCAGTCTCTTTTTGTCTGTCTCTCTCTCCTCCCCCACCTCCAAATACTTTTGGACTACTATTGACCACAGGTGACTAAAACTACAGAAAATAAACAAAGGATAAGAGCAGTCTGTTGTATACAAGAAAGAGAAAAGGAATTGAAAAATGATCCTCTCCTTATGCTCTGTTTTGATACACGTTTGTTAAAGGAACTGGAGAAACTTGAGAGCCACAAAGACCTAGAACCTCCATCTTCTGTACGTGATCTGAATCTCAGAGCAACAGCTGACTATAAAACACATGCAGCCTTTTTGGTTTGTTCCCAAATTCTCAGTTAGAATATCATCATGGAAACAACATGATATGTGCAAATCTCAGAACACAAAATATAGAAAAGGGGTATCTGGAATAATTACCTAAACTCTGTAGCAATTTAAGTATGACCTTTCAAAAGATAATGTTAGACCTCAGGTTCTTAAACATGGGCAGGATCTACCTGTAGGCACTTGAGCTACAGGAGAGATAGGTCACCTCACCCAGCCCCTGAGGCTGCCCCAGCTCTACCTGAAGGGACTGCTTCCTCTCTCCAGACTCTTTCAGCTAAGGAACAATCAGTGCCTGTGAGGACTATTTTTTTAAGTGAAGTTGTTGGAAACGATAAATGCAAATGAAAGATTTTTTTTTGAGAGGATTTCTTTAAAGGGTTTACTTCATTATGCATGAAAACAAGAATATAATCTGTCATTTAAAAGGCTGATAAAACAGTGTTAGCAGTTCAGAATACCTAGTTTAGCTCAAAATTGTAATATCTGTAAGGTTAGCATTATCATGCTAGTTTGATGAGAATCTGTACAAGGGAAGTTTTGATGACCTGTTTGCTGTCACATAAACAGTATTCTGATTTTAAAGTTACAAAATATTCATGCCTTTCACTGCCTATTATTTTTCTTTGTTCTTCCAGAGAGGTTTTTTAATTAATTTATTTATTTATTTACTCTAATTTGTTATACATGACAGCAGAATGCATTTCAATTCATAGAACACAAATGGAGTACAATTTTTTATTTCTCTGGTTGTACACAAGATAGAGTTACACCATTCATGTCGTCATACATGTACCTAGGGTAATGATGTCTGTCTGGTTCCACCATCTTTCCTGCCCCCTGCTCCTTCCTTCTACTCCCTCCCCAAAGTTCCTCCATTCTGGAGAGGTTTTAAGTTCTCCTGGGACTCTGCAGACCCGGGTTGCCAGTGTCCTTAACTCACCTGAATGTGCATGGCGCCCTCTACTGCTTCTGCAATGTTGGAGCAGCCACTGATGAGTGACAGCTGCTGTTCTGCGCTTAGAGAACCTTTCAGAGAATCAGACTGCTCCAGCATCTTCAACTCCTTTCTGGAAAGAAGTAGAGAGTGGTCACTGTAATCAAAACCCAATATAAAAATAAAGCTCAACAACACTAGTCATCAGGAATGTAAATCAGAGTCACAATGAGATACCACCTCACCCATTAGGATGGCTGTCAAAAAAGGAAAATAACAAGGGCTGGTGAGGATGTGGAGAAACTGGGACCCTAGTACACTGTTGGTGAGATTGTAAATGGAGTAGCTGCTATAGAGAACAGTCCAGAGAGTCTCAAAAAATTAAAAATAGGATCACCACATGATTCAGCAATTCCATTTCCAGGTATATACCCAAAGGAATTGAAAGCAGATTTTTAGAGATTTTTATACACCCATGTTCACAGAAGCACTATTCACAATAGCCAAGAGTTGAAAGCAACTTAAGGGTCCATTGATAGATGAATACAAAACCAAGATATTGTGATACACACAATGGAGTATTTTTCAGACTTAAAGAAGAAGGGAGTTCTGACACTTGCTACAATGTGGATGAACCTGGGTGATATTACACAAATTAGATGAAATAAATCAGACACAAAAGGACAAAAATTGGGTTATTACATTTATATAAGGTACCAAGAGCAACCAAATTCATGGAGACATAAAGTGGAATGATGGTTGCCAGGGGGCTAGAGAGAATGGGGAGTTACCATTCAATGGGCATACCCATGCTGTTTAATAGCACATCCAGGACTTCTAACTCCGCTCTAACTATAACTTAGTACCTTTGGACCAGTTTCTTCCCATCCCTCCTTCCCTCCTGCTCTCCCCAGCCTCCTGAAACCAACACCCTAGTGGCAACTTCTGAAATTGACCTTGTAAATTCCACATATGAGTGAGATTTTTTTATGTGGTACTTGTCTTCTCGTGACAGTTTTAATCTTTAAGCTGTTGATATCCTACAGTTAAAGCCAACAGGAGGACTGGGGTTGTGGCTCATTGGTAGAGAGCTTGTCTGGCAGGTGTGGGACACTGGGTTTGATTCTCAGCACCACATATAAAAGAACAAAGATCCATTAACAACCAAAAAAAAAATTTTTTAAAGCCAACAGGAGCACACCTATACTGGAACAGCAGGGGAGCCACGGGATCTAGAAAGAAGGTAATAGAGGGAACTTATCAAAGGATTCAGGCTTTGCTTGGGTGGTTTGGAGGAAGTCTCAGAAGTAGAACTCACTAATTGAGATGCTATAAAAAGTGAGGGCAGTTAGAAGATTGGGTATCTCAATAGATCTTACCCAGATGGAAAGGAAAGTACACTAAAGACAAAGCTATAATGATTTCAAGAGAAGTGGGCACTCATTTTAGCCAAGAAAGAGATGCTCAGTATTTGTGGGTCGCACAGTGATCTTGTTTTCAGCTGTTCTTTTTTAGACAAATTTATGAAGCAGTCTTTTTGTCTCATCCCATCATAGTTAAGAATGACCTTGTCAAAGGACCATGCTCTCACAGGTTGCTTATGTTCAACATTTAAGGTAGAGGTCTTTGGTCACTGGGGACGTTCCCTCAAAGGGGATAATGGGAACCTAACCCCTACCCCTCTCTTTTGCTACCCACCTGCCCTGAGGTGAATGAGCTTCCTCCACCATGTGCTACCACCATGATGTACTGTACTGCCTCAGGCCCAAAGCAAGGGGATCAATCAGACTGAAACCTCTGAAAGCAAGCCAGAATAAACCTTTCCTCTTTCTAAGTTGGGGAAATGACCTGAATAGACAGTTCTCAAAATAATAAATACAAATGGTCAGTAAATATGTGGAAAAAAATATTATTAGCTACCATTAGCTCTGCATGACTCTTAAAAGCCTCAAAGACACACAGTTACCCAATATTCTTCAGCATCTTGAAGTGAAAAAAATTTTCAAGAGACTTACCATATTGACATTTGCCATGTTGACAGAAACAGAACTCTCAACCACCACTTTTAAATCCTGTATTCCTAGATGCTGTGCATATTTTACACTCACAAGAAAAGGAAAATATTCAACTTCATTTTAATAATGATGATAAGTTATTCAATGTGACTATGATACGTACTACACAGATCAGTTTATCACATGATTAACTAATTACGTCATGGTTCTTTTTCATGTATATAGAGAAGGAAAACATTACTGATTTTTAGGGATATCAATGCTAAGGCCTACTCTTTTGAAGTCCCATTTTGCCACTTGAAAAAAAAGAATATGAATAATGCATGAGTTCACCTTTGAATCAATTTTGCCTTTAAAATAACTAAAGATATCTATTAAGGTATCAAAATAAAGAAAAATGCTTCTTTTTGTATTTTTTTTAGTCCTGCCCATTCATTTTGGTGCCCAAATCAAATCTCCAGGATGGTACAGAGTTTCCCAAGGGCCAGAGCTGTTAGAAGCATGATGCGGCTGATACCAGACCTCTGCCTTTGTCTTTTAAGTCATAATTAATAAGAACAACTTCTTCCTTATGCTTTCTACTGAGTCACACTGTCTCTCTCATTTGAAAAAAGAAAAGTAGGGAAAAAAAGAAAGGAAAGGAAACCCTGGTCCCATATGGACCTCCTAAAGGAGGCAAACAGGTGGGGGGGGGGCGGGTGGAGTCGGATGGAGAAAAGGGTCAGGAGGGAGGCACGATCTAGGAGGGAGGAGAGAACATGTGGGATGGTGCAGGTTACACCTAAAGGAACTGGTTTAAATCTAATGCCAAAGAGTATGGCAAGAAATTCCTCCTAGAACTCCTGATGCTACTCAAGGAACTGAAAGCCCTTGGCAGGAAACAGCAGCACATCAGGGTCTCATCCTGAAGGAGATGCGAGCTTTCAAAAGGTATGTGTAAGGAACATGAAACCACAAGAAACACTACAGGCATTGAATCAACTGATGAAATGATGTTAGGACCTGAACAACTGAGTTGCCAAATACATGTTTCTGGAGAAGGTAGTTCAGCAATTTCTACAGAAGACCTAAAAGAATGTCTAAAGAAAACATTAAAATTCTGTTTTTCACAAGAAAACTTGTCAAAGGATCATTGTTTGATAGCCCAGATGGATAGTGATCAGTTCATCCCAACTGGACAATTGCCAACAGAAAAGAGATTTTTTTTAAAAAGTTGACCACAAATCCTGATCTTAAAGTGTTGAGATCTTCTCCTATAGTACAAGTTGATGAGAAGGGTGAGAAGGTGAGACCAAGTCATTAGTGTTGTATTGTGATTCTTAGAGAGATTCCTGAAATAACACCAGTAGAGGAAGTGAAAGCTTTGCTTAAAAGTGAAAAATTCCCCAAAGTGATAAGCTGTGAGCTTGCACATAATAGCAACTGGTATATCACTTTTCAGCCAGACACAGATGCACAACAGACTTTCAAATACTTAAGTTATAACATTTCAGGGCAAGTCAATCATGACAAAGATAAGGGCCATCAATACCTTTTTTGCTAAGAATGGTTATTGATTCTAGTATGTATTCAAACTTCAGCACAGTATGCCTCACCAGTCTTTATGCAGCCTGTATATAATCCTCACCAACAGTACTCAGTCTATAGTATTGTGCCTCAGTCTTGGTCTCCAAGTCCTGCACCTTACTTTGAAACACCACTAGCTTCCTTTCCCAGTGGTAGTTTGTGAATGGCTTTAATTCACCAGGATCTTATAAAACAAATGCTGCTGCTGTGATGTTGGTCGACCCTTCCAAAAAAGAATCATGTGAAGCCTCATTTTAGGTCATCCAGTGGTTCAGAAGATTCAACAGAGGGCTCTGTGTCATTTGAGGATGGACCATTGAATAGATCTAGTTCAAGGAACTTTCCACCCGGATGGCATAACCCTCCAGTACCAGGGCATCAGGAGCAAACTCACCTTCCCAAGGAGACTCCTGTTTTACAGATGCAACAGAATGGGGACTATGGTAGGAGCAGAAGAACTGTTTCCAGAGGTCAAAGACCACAAGATGACAGAATCCCAAGACCCCATCCTTCAACAGTTGAAACAAAGACTCAAAAAAACAAAGTTTGACTTACTAGCTTCAAATTTCCCTCCATTACCTGGAAGTTCATCAAGAAAGCCAGGTGGTAGCTCAGTGATCAAGTGCCCCTAAGTTCAATCCCCAGTAAAAAAAAAAAATTAATTTATTTTTTTTATTGGTTGTTCAAAACCTTACACGGCTCTTGACATATCATATTTCAGACATTAGTTTCAAGTGAGTTATGAACTCCCATTTTTACCCCAAATACAGATTGCAGAATCACATCAGTTACACATTCACCTTTTTACATAATGCCCTATTAGTAACTGTTGTATTCTGCTACCTTTCCTATCCTCTACTATCCCCCCTCCCCTCCCCTCCCATC